AAACCCCCCCCCCCCCCCCCCCCCCCCCCCCAACAAAAAAAATAATAAATAAATAAAGACAAAACAAAAAACATAAAATTACGTAGTATTTTGTAATTTCGCCAATGTAAAGTTTCTGAAAAAATAAGTGTATAGGTCTAAATATTATTTCTTCCTTAATATTGTCAAGTACTATCCAATTCTCAATACCGAACATGTCACGCATGTAAAATATTTTCCCAATGCCACATTAACAATTTCCAGTCCAACGTAGAACGCATGTTGTCCAAAAAACACCCCTCTTTGATTGATAATCCATCCATGTACAGGTACAAGTTGGTGTTGCTAACTTCATCGTGGACACAACTATGGTATTGCAAAACAAACACAACATCTTCCTATTGAGAGTATTTCACCGCCTACCTATATAACAAAGCTAAATTCGATTTCAATCTAAAAGATGACGACTAAAAGCTCTGACTATTTACTATCAAAATGTGCCGATGCATGGGTAAAATATTCACTATGGATCAAAGTCCGTCAGGCGGAACCGGAGCATTCTGCGAAAAGCATATAAAAATGAGTTGCAGTTGAAAATTGTAAAATTTAAACAATAAATACCTGTATCCATATACAGGTCTGCATATATTAATGAGTTCATGCGGGTTAAATGCACTTGTGGTCGCTTAACTTTTTACGAAATTTCAAGTTTGATTTTGAACTTGATGCGTCTTCAATTTGATCACTCTGTTCATGCCTCACTAGTTAAACTAACGGGCATGGATCAGATGACCACCAAATTGTAACTAACATTTAAATTTTGATACCACTTATCAGAGTTATATTTCGTGAGTAACTTAAAACAAAATGAAGGTCAATGATCACTAGTGCTTTTAACGTGTTCAAGTTCTACCTTAACTTCTTGTAGGAGTTCCTCAAGTTCGACTTTAATTTTTGCGAAGGTTGGACGATTATCAGGAATTGCTTCCCAACATCTCTGCATCAAGTCTAACAGCTTTGGATGACCATTTTGGGGAAGTTCTGGTCGAAGACCCTAGCACATAGCACACATACAAATCAAGAAGCTTGTCAACAAATGACACTGCTGAATATATATCAAACAAAATTTATCATATGTTCAATCTGATTCCTATTTGCTGCTTTTTCAACTCTGCTAATCTTTCCCCCGGTTCTAAACATAGAAACCCCCTCTGCATCCTCTATCAAGTAAAAGAAACAAAGATGGGGGAAAGAAACACCAAATATAAACAAGGGAAAGTGGAAAGATGTATACATTTTCTTCAACAGTTGAAGATAGCATAATGCAGTAAATGATTGCTTTATAACTTTGCTAGAGACCGTTTCAGAATTACAGCATTGTATAGTTGTATTTAGCCAACTCTTAATCAGCGACATGTCAGGAACACAAACAGGTGCAGTCATTATTTTCATAAAATGTATCGCTATGAAATCACATAGCAGTGCTCACTGGCCTGCAAAATTCTTTGGAGTTATCTAAATGTTTGGTCAACAGTACAGTATTAAAGAAAATCATGTCAAAGGAAATCAGTTTTATGTGATCTCTAAGCGGCAACTTCACTTAGGATTGTGTGAATTACTTCCACTTATAGAAAACATTAAAAAGTTATATGAACATGATTGTATCAACGTTAGCCTGCTGTTAAGCCCTCGTGTAACTAATAGGACAATCTGATTGCTCTAACTTGGGCCTACTCAAATGATTAAATATCAAATTTTTTTAGTCAGATTCATCACTTTCATTGGACTTGCTTACAATGGTACTCAGCAACTAAGAGGGTCTCCAGTTCTTATCAGAATATAACATTGAACAGAAATGGGACTCAAAAAGTATACTGATTGTTTATTTAAAATATTTAAAAATACCTTGGATTCATTAATATTGATGCCTCCACGTGGCTTGGCAGTTTTAGGATATTTTTACTACAGTAAACAGAGGGACACCCTTTCACTTAGATTGCATCATATCAAAAATGAACATGATCACACAGAAATATGGGACATGGCACTTCGCTCAGTTAGCTGAGCTATGTCAAATGATAGCCACCAGAGAGAATTTTAAGTTTAGAGTAGATCACAAACCTGCCTGACTCCCAGTGCAGCCTGTAGAGGTGTCATAGTATCGTAAGGAACCTGCAGCCCCAACAAAAGAAAGTTTTATACAGCATCACCTTCCTCACTCTCAAAGCTTTAATTATCATTTATTACAAGATATAAATTTAAGAAACACCTTCGCGGTCACAAGCTCCCAAAGAACTACAGCAAAACTGAACACGTCTGCTTTTTGATCATACGGTTCATGATTTATCACCTGTAGCCAAGGGATTGCAAAAGACAAAAAGATACAGGCCCTGTTTGAGCTATATTTTTTCAAAAAAATGCATTCTTAAACAGTGATTTGACATCATTTTAATTACACGTTTTTCAATAAAATAATATGACACGTAAATCCAAATTTTTTCCTTATTTTTTAACCACACATTTCCCATAAATACATTACTCAAAAATGCATTCTTATGAAAATAATGTGGCTCACAAGGAAAAACAATCTATTAATTCCTGAGGCAAGGCATTATCATTCTGGCAGCAATAAATACTTCCAAACCACACAGTCATTAATTTAGAACTAACTAATAGACAAGGTTGCAGAGTGTTCAGTTTTGACAGAACAAAATGAGGACTCAGGAATATTGACAATGGGCCCTGCTTAGTGTACAGGGGCCCTTTTCCGACTGAAAAATACCAATGTTCAGTAAGGTACTTGCATCGGAGTAAAATACAGAAAATAGGTGAATCACTAATAATGAAGATAAGTATGCATATGTACCGTGTATGCACCAGTTTCTTCCACCCACTCCTTTAACCCTTGTGTATTTGAAGTACGAAATTGATACGCTCACATCAAATGCCACTAGATTTGTGTATTTGTAAACAATTATGTCCCACCACTTGCTGTGAACGCGGTATTTGAAACAGTTATGACTAACAAAGTATAACTGTACCATACATGTTCAAAACGTGTCTGAGCTGTCTAAACTTATGAATTCTGTATTCATTTCCGGAAATGTTCAATAGAGTTCAAACCCATACATGAGTGTTAAAACCAACATGGACATAAAAGCTTCTCAGGAGTGTCCTCACTTTCCAGCAATCATCCAACTCTATGTAAAATAATTTATAGCTCAACTTCCATATTACAGTCTCACGCACAACCCTCGCCCAACACAATCCAAACAAAATGACCATCAAAATACAAATGATGTGACCCTTTTCACATCAAAACATTTTGTAAACCACTAATTATATAAAATCTCCATAATGGTTCCCATGTCAACAAACTATTTTGGAATGTTATGGGAGGGGTAACTCGAGATATTAAAGTGTGTGCAAATGCCCCCTATCCCGTGACATATTATTAGACATAAAAGACTAATATTTTTAATAGCTGACAAAAGTCAAACCTCAGGTGCCATCCATCTATACGTTCCTGTCTCTGCTGTCATAACCCCACCATTACTCTGGAACCGAGCAACACCAAAATCTGCCACTTTAACAACCTACAAGTATATTCAGGAATATGATTACAGCTGCATTGAGTTACAGTGAACTCTATAAACAAGAGCAAGAAATTAAAAAGGACCTTACTACACACAAACGTAATTAAAGAAATGTTGATTAAGAGAAAATAATTAAAAGAAACTTATTTTAAACAAACAAATTATACAAGACGTATGCATAAGAAATGTAACCAATGTTCTAGATACACAATCGCATATTCTAAATACTTCATGCAATCGACAGAGAGTGGAGCATATTGATGCATGGACTTGAGGTCTCACTTTCTTTCACTTGTTTCTAGTATATAAATCATTTGCATCTAATTTAACAAAGCATCTGGAGATTTGTGCAGTGCATCTTAGTGGCCAGCATGTTCAACAAATCTGCAGGCTCAACAGAGCAGGCCTATTTTCTCGTCCTCCCATTTTGATTACAAATGTCATTACTTACATTTCATGTGTAAGCTAATGATCAATTTTGTGCATTTTCTTAGAGAAGAGAGTTGTGAACGAGGTTTGATGTTAAAAAACAAGCAAGGAATTAATTGACTACAAGTAATAGGTCTGGGTGACACTTGAATACGTATACCAGAACAGAATAATGAAAGGACTAAACATCTTACCTAGTCATCCTCACAAAAACATACAGCATATTACAAATTCATTGGTCAAATTAAAATCAAGCAGCATTTCCAATTTATCATGTACAATTCAAGATTAAGAGTTTCATTTCATGACTTTCAATGATAAGCCACACAACCACCATAAGCAGCCTTCTTGTTATATTACCAAAAGCATGAGAAGTGAAAAAACATACATAAAAACCAAAGAGGTACAACTCTATAAGATCAATGGCTTAAGGAAGATGAATATCCCATCATACTTCAACAATAAGAGAAGTTAAGTGAAGCCGTCAAAACTTTCTTTATTCCAAACATCTATAGGCATTCTAGACTACAGTCCCAGCATAACAATCTAATTTATCCATGAACTTACACTGTGAGCATCCATAAGCAAATTTGCTGTCTTCAAATCTCTGTGAATAATGTTCTTATTATGCAGGTACTCCATGCCTTTGCACACATCGATTGCAACCTTCAGCAACTGTGAGAGCTTCAAGACGACATGATTTTTGTGCAAATATTCATAGAGGCTACCGCCCGGCATGTATTCTACAAGCAATAATAGCAGTTAGTTGAGAAAATTCTACAAGTGCTCCGGATGTAAACTATTTTAACTACTTGAAATATAGAACCAATAGAATCTCCAGAAGCAATTTGCTGTAAGATGAAACATAGACATAAATACAACTGAAATATAAACAAACCGTTTATGCACAATTCACAAGGATAAGGCAATACACTGACACAAGTTAAAACAAATAAGCAGATCATGAAATGTAAGAGTGCTAAACCATAAATGATTAATTCTTTATTTGGGATAGGTATGGGGGATAGCAAACTGAATCTGAGAGTTTGACTCCTCTTGGCATCTTTTCACTTGCATGCAAGTTGAAGTGGAGAAACAGTCAAAGAGGGAATATAATGAACAACAGAATCTCACTAGTTCCAGCAACATGCATTGATGAAGTTCAAATTGTTCTACCTGTCACTATGCATAAATGAGGCAACTTTGTGCATGCACCAATGAAGCGAACAACATTTCCATGTTGTACTTCCCTGCATTCATAAATCATCATCTTTAAGATTCAAAATGATACATTCTAAGACGGACAATATAAACATGAAAAGACACCTAAAAGTGACATATTATATACTTGGTAATCAGAAATATTTTTTAACAAATAGCTCCATTATATCTGCCCCAAGAAGGTGATATCCATTTATTGAGCACTTCAATAGCTATAAGCAATTGACTCCTCTCAAATAAATTATACAGATTAAAGCTATGCCTTTTGTCAAAATATTTCAGATATTCATTAAGAAAAGTTTGTTCACAAAATTGTCTTCTGTTTTCCTTCAAAACTTCACCCATTCATCTCTCTACATCTCCACAAAGAGGTGTCCTGTCCCAAATGTCATCCTCTCCTATACAAAACTCCACCTCAAAAATAGATCCTTGACTGAACAAGGCATAATCCATGATAAGCCACACATCCTTGGCCATAAGTCCAAAGAATGCAGGGAGTGCCCCCAATGAAGTAAAAGGTGGTTCCTGATCTTGTAAGCATTTTTAAGAAAGATACAATAATTTACATGACTCTTGCATGACCTTTGTCCCTGCCAAAATATGCTCTGTGGGTGTCTCCCAATTATAGAAAGCCCTCACATGGTCCGGCTTTATTTGACCAGTTTTGCTTTCGATGGAAACTGCTTTGATTGTCCTCTTTAAGTGCACAATGATAAAATGGCTGAGAATAATTAATTCACTATTTGATTCCACCTGGTTAAATCCACACCAGAATTCCCAGTTTGACCTCAAAACAATCAAGAAGGTTTGGCACAGTTTGAACTTCCCAACCTTGTGAATTTCTTTTATAGATAGATAGACATAACACATTGGGGTCCATCCCGCTGACTAATTGACTCACCAAAAGATTCCTAATTAATGGAACTCTAAATGAAGCTGGAAAACTTCTTTGAATGGCCTTCCCCTAACCACATATCTGATATAAATCGGCAGCCTATCAACATCATACCAATATCTAACTACCTAGCTGCTTCCAACTTCAAAATATATATTCTTCACAAACTACTTTCGCTTGTTTGGAGTACTAGTTCAAACAGCCACTGCAAGCAATTACGGCCATTGACTGATAAGCAATTGCCATCAAAATATGGCTCATTTACAAATTAAATGCCAAACATATGGATCGTTGCCAGATCATAGCAGTTTCTTATAACTACTCTTGAAGAGAATGTGACTGTTAAGCTTAAGAATCAATGATTTCTTGTCAGAAACAACTATGACTTGCTTACGGGCAATACGATATTGGAAAACATAAATTAAACAAAATGGAAGTCCAGAAGAAGAACCAAGCTCATGCTAACAAGCTCGCTCGGTATCTTAATTGATTACTAGGATTCCAAGGCTATGCCCACTGATAAAGATATCATAATATTATCAAACAAAGTAGCAATTTAGACGTATCATTCACTAACATATCAGATATCTTAGCTCTCTTGGTTTCTTTTGGCTAAGTCATCATTTAGCCTGTCACTAATGTAGCAGTTCTGTAGCAAGACAGATCAGTAACAAATTGGCATTTAACAATTTAAATGTAAATAGCATGCAGGTAGCAATTCTATTCACCTTAAAATAGCAACTTCCTTTGTAAACTCATCCTCCAGGAGGTCATTCAAATGCTCAGATCTAAGCACCTTAACAGCAACATTCTGACCACGATATACTCCACGATACCTTTCATAAACAAGAGTAATATACAACCAATGTCACTGAGAAACAGAATAAACCCATAGATAGTGGCACTTATAGCATAGATATAAACATACAAGTCTCCGCATGACCCAGCAGCGATTTTTTCTCCTATCTTCAATGATCTCCAATCTATTTCCCAACATTCGCATTTTTCTTGTGCAGCGACGGCTTTCTCCACAGCTGATTGAGAATGTGATGAACCAGACCATGTTCCCTACACAAAGCAAAGAACACAAGACTCCATTGATCTTTAGCTGTTTACCAAGATTGACTTTCTTATAAGATCTCATATAAACCCAATCTTGCACTATATAACATAAGAATCCTCAAGCAAAAGAAACATAAATCAGAACTAAGTAGCTAATGTGTAACGAAACTCTCACTTCATGACTCCTTTTCAGCAGAAATGAGAATCAATTACTAGAAACGATGTTAAAAGCCTTTATCTTGTCCTTCTAGCATATTGAAATAAGTCCAAGCGTATAGAAAATTAAAACCGGGCAACACTTCACAAGTCCTCTCGCTTCATTCATCGTTAACCTGTGTCTTTACTTTAATGGATCTGGTTGCAGTTTCAGAAATTATACATGATGTTGTATTTTCAGAAAGCGGTGTCTATGAGATCCTATCACAGCTGTAATAAAAGAAAAATAAAGATTACATTAAGTTAAAGTCAACTGCTAATCACTTCCCAAGCTACTTGAACTAAAATAGAGTATTTGGCTTGATTGCTGCCATCAAACACAATGGGAATGACCTCAAAAAAAGATGCACCCCTGTCAGAGAAAAGGATCAGATATAAAACATTAAGGACTGCTAAAGATGGTTCAGTACGGAAGCAGAATTGGTTTCTTGAAAACAAGAAGAAAATATGAAAACTTGAAAGTTTGTAAGAAAGTAATTTGACTGTATTGAATTGATGATTGAAAAGTGGAAAAACCCTTTGTTTGTATGGGCAAATTAACTCCCTAATCCTATTGACTTAAGCAATTAAATCACAAAAGGAGTAGAAGAAAAAATATTATTCTGACAAGCAAGAAGAAATCCTAACAAGAAAGAAGAAACTCTATTCCGAACAAGAAATAAAATCCTACTACAACAATAAATAATTCTCTATCCTATTTGTGATAGGATTGTCCTCCATCATGGTTTGACTACAGGCTTGGTGAAAATATTGAGAAAGTCATTTTGATTATATTTCATCTTATTATCTTCCAGTTCCACTTAGGGATAATTATAAAATAGCCTAACAAGGCAAAATCATTTCTTTCTTACGTGTATTATATAGCAACTAATATTGTGCTAGTAGAACCGAAGACTAACAAATATATTCTACAATGTACAAGAACCCCGTCATAAATTTTGGGGAGAGAGAGAGAGGGAGGGAGAGAGAGCCATGGAAAGGGGATTACCTCACTCCTAGAAATTGATTTTCTCATTTCTTCATATAAACCCTCTGTATTCTGGTAAAAAAAAATTGCAAGTCAACAACATTTGGAGTCAGAACAGCCTAATAACTTGGCCCTATGTAATATATTCAGTCTTGCAACAATCACATTGTATAACAGCAGCCACCAAAATGTTGATGTAACCACAGTAATGCTTTAGCCTCCCCCATAGGGAAAGCAATAAACACTTCATATATAGCATATTCTACATAGTGAAGGCACAAAGAAAATAATCTCTCCTTCCCATAAAGTATACGACTCTCCATTTTCAGTTGCCATGAAACGTGTGCCGCTTTCCAATTTAGGTTTCCCGAAATACATGTGTGCTATTTTAGAAGTCAAACCCGTGCTCACTCTAAGTTTACATAATACCCCTACATATTTGAGAAACAAATTGGATTCAAAAATAAAAGCTATTGTTATCAAATGAGCTATTTTAAGGACTAAAAAACAGAAGCAATATTTATCACCAAGTTCAAAACTTCTGCCGGTTCGGACCCAGACATTATAATGAAGATGTCCCCTGAACCAACACGTAAAAGGTAGATCAATCAGAAATTAATTATGCATAAATCACTAAATTCCAACACATGGTAGGCCATGTCATAAATTTAAAGAAAGTGACAAAAAACATAATTCGAACAACATCATCCAAGAAACTTGAAACATAAATTCCTAGGTTTTACTTGAAATTTAGCATACTCAGGTCGGATTTCCTAAAACAATAAGTACCTCAACAGGCCATCCATCCACAACAAACACATCCAAAGAGTAGCCATCTGTTGTAGAAAACACATGCGCTTCACGGATGTTAAGTCCTATGTCAGAAAGCAAAGCAGAAAGCTGCAGAAACAGAAAGAAAACAATAAGAAGGAACTTACAGAGTACTAAATAGATCTTGATGTTCATTTGCCAAATTAAAAAGCTTGCACTCAAGAATCAAGCTTGGCTAACGGACACCAGAAGATAAGAAGAGAAAGAATGGGGAGACAGAGAACTAGCAGAAAAGAAGGCAAAATATGCCCTATAGAATACAAATATGAAACGCAACCAACCAACTAAAATAAGCTTTTGATCCAAACAGATGAAGCACCAGTTGTTACAATCTTGAAGTGATTTTTGCAACCGCTTAGTATAATCCATTTCAAAAGTAAGAAACAATGTTATTATTTCAAAAATCAGGTATTAATTAAATTTTATTTATAAAATAATTAATTAATAATATATTAAAGTCACAATATTATATAATTTATAATCACAATTATGTATTAGTTACAATCACATGCATCAAAGTCACAAATCACAAATTTTATAGGTCACAACTTATTTTTTGGGATCAAATTCATCAAATTAGTAGGTCACAACTTATTCCTTGATCACAAATCACAAATTTATAAGTCACAACTTATTTCATGATCACATAATATCAAACTAACTATCACACACAATTTCTAGGTCACAAATTATCAAATTATTTATAATAACTTAAGTAAATTTTTAAGTCACACATTATTTATTGGTCACAAATAGATAATTTCATTGGTCACATTAGGGCCAGCCCTAGCCCAAGGCCAACTAGGCAATGGCCTCAACATTCTAGGGGCCTCCAAAAAAAGCATGGGAAATTTTCTAGTATACCCGCACAAAAAAAAAAAAAAAATGAAGAAATTCTAAATTTATTGTGACGAAGGTTTTATTCCCAAAATACTGAAATTTTGGGTTAAATTTTCATAACAATTGGAATCCATCTATAGTGTTAATTAAGGAAACTGACACTAACTCCGCATAAATGGAAAATCTTTGAAGACAATTCCATAATAATCAGTCTAATTGAATATGAAAATAAATTCATGTAATTAAGGCCAAAATTGGGTAGATCAGATTTCCATAACAATCGGAACCCATCTATGTAGTTCTTGTACTTCTAGGTATTATTGTATCTTTTATTATTTATTTATAAATATATAAGTTAAGTATCGATTGGTATATAATATAAATTTATATATTATCATGTAATATATATTTACGGGATTCTAAATAGTTGCTCGAAAACTCTAGGAAGTACAAGAGATCAAGACATCATATCAAACCATGAATCAACAAGATGATAATCAAACTTTGATATTTTGCTATTTAGTTTTTAAATGTTAAAAAATAGTGCAAAAATGCACAGTGTAACATGGTTGCATATTCTAGTTTATTCCGTAAGTTTCTTTGTATGTTATACACCAATATGTTATAGTTGCTTTCTCAAATGGCGAATTCAACAACTTATATCATATTCCTACACGGTGATGCAAAAATTTATTTATGTTTAGTAAAATAAATGCAAAACATCACATCATTTCACAGTATGTTTCATTCTATAAGGTATATTGTCTATTATAAAGGAATATGTTAGTGGTTTTCCTCAAAGATGTGAACACAATGAGATATCATGTTTTGATACATTGGTGTGAATATTTCCACGTGTGAGTTAGTACACAATTGCCCGAAGCAACACAGGTTTCAGGGCATGTTTTCTTACATAACTTACATCTTCTATTAGAAAATAGGTGAAAAGTTATTGTAGACTGAGTCGAAGATCTTTAAGAGAGAGAGAGATAACATATATATATATATATATATATATATATATAAGGTTCTCATAATTATTAGTCGCATAGGGCCTCAAAATTCTGAGGGTTGGCCCTAGGTCACATATTATTTATTGATCACACATTAACCAATTTATTAGTCAAAATCAACTAAATAATTTGTAACCACAATCACCACTTGTAACCACCACCTTATACTGCCTTTAGCAGGATTGTTGCAATAACACCGTTGTCAGAACCACCACCTCCCTACAACTAGCAGCACCACCATCTCCATCATCTCAAACAAACCACACTATGACCACAAAAAGCTACCACTACTTCACCACCACTATGACGACAGCAACGACAAAACCACTGCAAAATAGATCCAAAATCAAAGCAACAATGGAAACGACAACCACTGCCACAACCACCACCACCGCGGCAAACATCACAACCACCACCACCAACAAATCGAATCTAAAACCGCCATCACCATACCTCCTCGTCATCGCCGCCGCCGCCACCATCACCGTCGCCCCCACCATTTTCAACCACTACCACAACCACCATTTTCAACCACCACTCCTACATAGACGTGTCTATAACAAACTACCAAGGTCCCAACAAACCACCAATACGAAAGCCAGTAGCATACCACCATGGTCTCATCAACAAACCACAAGTATTCGTGCACGTGGCTGCATGAGGTGGTCATCAGCTAATGAAGATGGTGTCGCCAACGTTGGTGTTTCAGAAGAGTAGATAGTGGACAAATAATAGAGAGAGAGTAATTTGTGATGAATTAGGGATGAGTGGAGAGACATTAGAGAGAGTATAATAGAGAGAGAAAGTGAATCTTTATTTAATAAATGTTAAATAAATAAGGGAAAAAATCACATATAAGGTGTTATGTTTACCTCAATTCAAAAATCAAATAGTTTGAAAATTCAAAAATCAGGCATGCATTTAATTAATTAAAAATATTTATTAAATAAAGATAATAAACTCACAGTTACATGATTAATGGTCACAGATTCATAATTATAGGTCACAGTTTTATTTATTGGTCACATATCGTTAAATTAATTAATCACAGATTATTTCGCGGTCACAAATCAAAAATTTTGTAGGTCACGGATCATTTAAATTACAGGTTACATTTTGGCTATGGGTCACATAGATCACAGTTTATTAATCACAAATTATTTTTTAATCACAAACACCTAATATTTGGTCACATATGCCTAAATAGATGGTCACAGAGCCTAATTGTTGGTCACAGACACCCCATTCGTCTCCATCATTGCCACAGTGCATCACCGTCGACTAGCACACTATCGCCTGTACAGCACCACAGTCACCAACTCACTCAGCCACATCGTCACACTACACCACACCGCCACCACATCATACAATACTACCAAATCTAACTCGCCAAACTACACCACACCGCTCACAATGAGCGCTGCACCGCTATAGTTAAAAAACCCAAACATTGACCTTATAGGTACCGCAATCTGAAATTGTGATTGCAGCGGTCGCCGTCGCATTGTCATCACCGTTGCAGCGATGAGATCTGAAACTATTATAGCGCCATCATCTGCAGTGGTCGAGTACAAGTAACTTCATTGCGACATCCCACCCAAAAAATTCCCAAAGCAGCAGCTACGCACACCGGAAAAATCACCATCGTTACAGCATCGGAGCTCACGCCACGAGCAGCGCCGCCCAAAATTGGCATCACCATGGCTGCGGGGCTCAAATCGTCACGACGATCTGGAAGCGCCGCTCATATCAGGTCTGGCCGGCGCCGCTGCATTACACAAAACAAATGCCGAAGAGAAGATGGTTGTTGTCGCTGTGTGCGTTTAGAGGGAGAAGAGAGAGACGGGAAATGGGTTTGAAATTAGGGTTTGAAATTGGTCGTTATATTTATTAATACCTGATTTGTGCATAAATAAACTTCGCCCCTCAATTTTGAATTTGAAAGTTTAAGTACCTGGGTTTATGTAATTTCCACAATAAATAATTATAATCTGAATTGTGAAAGATGAAACTTAAAATCTTGTTTATGAAATGCAAGCTTAAAAAACAGCCCAAGGGGTAATTTCCACTAAGCTTTATGTGCCATGAACTTTATAATCCACATTAAGTAAACAAGAAAATACACCCCCAAACATTACACAAGATTAACCTACCACAACCGGTAATGACCAAGACCAATAATCACAAGATAAATTCACAGCAGGAAACAGTAACCATTTATTAAACAAAATTGTACAACTTCGCTCTCAAATTTACCTGACTAAGAAGCTTGGGCTTGTCAATAGTTGAAAATATTACTTCATGTATTGGTAGTATTGGTATGTGTTGAACCTCCTGCCTGCACTATGCTTCTCAATAGTAAACTTACTTTTCACATATAACAGAGAAACATTTACATCTATTATATAGATTAAGTGCAGCTAAGAGTCTTGTATATCTGAAGAATATAGCAAGGTCATACACAATTACAATATAAAAGTTTCACAAAATAAGCATATCTCACAATAAAATATCATAGTTATCGATATGAGAGAAAACAAATAGGAAGGAAATCAAATATGTATTGGATTTCTTGAGTCATAGTCAAGCATGTTCAACTAGGCTCGGTAAATGCCCATTAGATAAACCATTGGCATAGAAAGAAAGAGTAGCCTTCAAATAATGAAGCATGGACATGCTGTTTCCTAGGGTCCTTAAGCTAAGCATTTCAAGATAAGCTAAATTTGCATTTCAATATACGTTATTCAATCCCATTAATTTTTTCTTTGACTTTTTGGCCATTACAACAATCAATATATCCAAGATATTCAGACCCTTGTAGAGATAGCTCTTTGTAGTAACTCTCCCTCAGAAGCCAAGGGTCAAAGCAAGGTGGACAAAAAATTAGTTGAGTCTTTCTCACCAAGGGGCAATCTAATAAAAAAATGAAGGAATCGTCTTTGAAGAATCTCAGTAATAACAGAAATACAATAATAAAAGAGATTTACCAGGAAATTACCTTCTCAATAAATCTTCGGTAGGAGTTTCCCTGTTTCTGTCATTAGAATTCCTTCTTACATCCAAGTTTAGATCCTCGAGCTTAGAACAAGGTTCAAAGTCACCCGTGCATTTTCTGTTTTAAATCATAGAGAGATGAAAAGAAATAGAGACAGTGTGGAAATATGGACAGACATAGAGACACAAACATTACCAAGCAAAAGAATAATGTATAGAGCAAGCAGGTAAGAAATATATTAAGTGCTTGCTTGGTTAAGCTTTTAAGTACTTATAAACAGTAGAACCTAAAGAACGTGTGGTTTAAAAATAAGTAAGAGATGTGGGTCCTATGGAAATAAAAATAGTTTGACCACCTCACAAGCAAGTATAAGGTTTGCCAAACATGCACTAAATAAGTATGTAACTAGTTTTTGACAGTCAAAAGTACCCGTGATTTAAAGATGGGGCATCTTCATTACCATCCCCGCCACATGGTCTTGAGGCAGAAGGAATGCTTGAAACTTGTTCACCATCGATATCATCAGCTCTAGAGAAGATATTCTGATCAGTGACACACAATATAGCAGTCAGGCATGAGCTAGAGATAGTGAAATGAGACAGATAACCCACCAAAAAATGGAAAAAAGAGTTAGTTTTGCTTTTGGGCAGCTACATCATGACACAAACATGTAATGCTTATTTATTGTCTAAGAATCATTTCTTCCCAGGTAATAGGAGAGTGATTCCGTCAGAAGCTTTTTTTTTTTCTTTTTTCTTTTTTTTTTTTTAATTGTTAACCTTTTATCTTAAGGTCCAAATACAAAGGTTTAGGTTAGTTTTCACATGCTTTGGGTGATTTGTTCGGATACTTAGCTAAAAGGTACAATGATAACCAAGACATACATATAATGTGAATGTTATGCTCAGCGATAGAGCACATCAAAGGCTATCCGATTAATAAGTAACAGGGAAAAGGAAACATTGATTTTAACAATGTCTTTAATATGACATTACTCATTCTAGATGTTCTCAATACAACCCTACTCTTCTTCAATCTTCAAGATTTTTCTTCCCTTCAGTCATCAAGTTTTTGGAGTTTCAAATTATGGGCAGGTCAAAGTGCCATTTTTCTCTCCTCTCCACTTTAAAAGCTTCGTAACAAGCAACCAGATCCTACAATTCTTCTTCATCTTTTGAAAGCGACAGATTACTTATTTTTGTTCCCAAAGCCTGCTAGAACAAATGTAAGATTCTTGATCATATGCACTGATGTAAAAAGGGAGGCTGCTGCATGACTTGCAAAAGGAATCTCAAACACTCGATCATTGGTGCGCTTTGACAATAAATCTAGTTAACATGATATATCATCTATAATATACAATACAGGTCCAAAAGTACCAACAATCACCCGAGTGCTGTTTTTTCATTGTAGGCAAGTATTGTTAATACACTGGTTCTGTTGAACTGACTATTTGACATTACTTTACAGTAAATTAATTTAAATCAGAAGGAATGAGAAGTTAATAAATTGAAAAGGCATATATCACGAGTGCAATGATTTATAATGAGTACATGGAAGCATAAAAGGATTACTACTGTAAATAATACCTCTAAAAACCGAATATGGAAAACAGGCAGATTATTAGGATCCTTTGCCCGCGCAAGAAGACTTTGATGTAACAATACATCTTCCACTCTATCCATATTAATATCCAGTCCATAACTGAAACACGCAATGACAACAACTGATAAAAAAATCTGTCGTCAACAGTACTAAAATGGAACTATTTACCATCATATCGAAAAAATATCAACTCAAAATTGAAAAAGTTAATAGATGACAACATGTTAAAACAATAAATAAATCCGATACCATTCAGAACTTCAAATTTCCAAGATGTTTTCCAATTTAGAACACCAAAATCACAGCATCATTTGAATCAGTCAACCGCTGAATCGCTTTTATGTGATACAAATGCTAAGACTCACAAGATGTCTACAGCTTCATTATTTCATAGAATACATAATGCAAAGCACATGTACCACATAAATGAAAGCACACAGGCACACACATACGTACATGAAGTTACTTTCCTGTTTTTTTGAAAAGGAGAATTTTCTAAATATTACAGGAATCATCTGTGAATACTTGCATCCACATATACCGTATAGAGAGCAATTACACACAAAATTGAACTCCAACCTACTCAACCGTCACACACACAGTCACAGACACACGCAGTACACATTTCTCATTTATGCATCTTTACGCACGCAAGCACAACCTCGGAGGTAGGCGATTGAAGTGAGACTCCAACTGTTCGCGGAAATCAGGATTCCCAAGAGCTTCTTCATTTTCATTCTCTATAAGCCGATTATACACATCATTCCTGATTACATCGTTACCACCGCTACCACCGCCGTAACTGCCATAACTTCGCGGTGGCGATGAACTCTCTCCTACCTCCTCAACCAAATCCATCCCCAACTATATAAAACTACTACTTAACTCTATATCGATATTTGTATATACATATCTATGTTTGAATTGCTCAAAAACTTGACTGAGTTGAAAACGATTTCCATGAATGATCGGAGGAACGGAATCTTTTCAAACGGTTGGTAGAATCTAAAAAGTGTTGCGGGGTATGATTCGGATTTCAGCTGGAAAATCAAGGGCAATTTCGTCCGCCATTACTGTAGTTGACTCGAGGTTTGTCTCGAGAAACACTGTTACTGTGTGTATGTGCGTGAGAGAGAAACTTTGAAGAATGTCAAGTTTGTAATATCATAAAAATGGATAGGGTTCTGAAGTTTTATTGACACTGGAGCCAAAAAGTAGGAGGGAAATTTGCAAATTGGCCGTCAGGTTTTAAAACGTAACAATTAAGTCCCTAATATTTAATATATAAATAGTGAATCCTTATAAACAATTCAAATTTATTTTATATCATCATGTGACCTATATATATATAAACACAATGCAGCAATATTTGGGATTGTTTGAGCCCCCTTTCAAAAAAATGCATTTTGCAATAATGTTACGATGGAAAATGTGTACTTAAAAAATAATGAAACGTTTTAAATTTACGTGTAATATTATTTTATTAAAAAAAAATATTTTAAGTATAGTCAAATAATTATTCAAAAATATATTTTGATGCAAAAATAAGACAAACAAAGGCTAAAATTATAAAATAGAAAAATATATATATCATATAAAAATTTATAAAATTTCGACAGGCTAGTCCACCTCCCTTTGTCACTCTCAAATATTGTGTTTCAATTCAATGGAGTTAAGTTTCATAATTTTTTTATTTTTTAACCATATCATTTTGCAAAAAATATTTTTCAAAGAAAAAATATTTATCAAAAAAGCGCTAAAGTGTTTTTTCCATTTTTGAAATGCTAGAGACCAATTTGTCATAGAGAAATAAGTTAGAAACCAATTGTACAATTTTTGATATTTAGATTACGGGGAGGGGTAACGAGTCTTACCAGAATTACGGGAATGCTAAATTTCCATATTTCGGGGGCCGTGTTTGGCAGCATCGTATACTCTTCTACCACGAAAAGATCAATTGTTTGCTTCCTACTCTACTACCCCCAAAATGTATAGTGAAAATGTAACTTCATATTTTTAAAAAGAGAGAAAATCAAATTTATAACCTAAGTGATCACGTGTTAAATAAAGAAATTCAAGTATCTTTCTTTTATTTCTTCAATCATGTTCTTCGACCCCATTTGGTACACATTAATGTAAAAATGAAAATGAAAAATACAATCGTTACGGGCCACACAAGAGATAGAAAGTCAAATATGGTAACCTGATATAATGGATAACGGTAAATTTTTTCATTTTAATGGGTAACTAATGAAAAACAAACGGGGGCTTACTAATAACCTTTGATATGTGTAGAGCATTATATATATATATATATATTTCTTAGAAGTTGGAGATACAATCTAGTCCTCGTTTGAGTCCTATTTTTTAAAATTCCTTTTTAAAAAAAAAATTTGTTTTTATCCATACATTCTCTTAATAAAATCAATTTGCACGTAAACTCAAAATTTTTCTCAATTTTTTAATCATATATTCTTCAAATATCATTTTTTTAAATCTATTATAAAATATTAAAAAAAAAAAGGAGCTAGAACAGGAGCTTGATATTTTGCAATTATCAGATGCTAAATAAGCAACTGTTTGGGCTCTATTAGAATTTTAATGCATTTTACACTTTTTTTTCAATTTCACGTTCTTCAATAAAATAATATTATGCATAAAGTCAAATTTTTCATTTTTTTTAACCACACATTATTCAAAAAATCACTAGTACAAAATATATTTTGCCCTAAAATTTGATTTTAATGAAACCCAACACAAGGGATAAATTACATAATGAAAAATTTACAAAAACTTAAAAATAAGTTATAAATTACATTTTTGTTTTGTTGTTTGGTGGCCGAACACGGCCCAAGTATCTTTCTTTACAAGTTAATGCAGAATGTGAGGAAAGGGTTTAAATGCTGAATATACGGAAATTGCCGATTATTACAGTCGTCACGCGGGACTCGTTGGGTACCAAAGAGTAATGATAAAGTTACCGTGTGAGGGACAGACTTGGACAGCCTTGTACGTGATGTGGAGAGTCACATTATGATGCCACGTGGCCTTTGAGTCAGTGGTGGATTATGACGTTTTACTAGTTCTTGGAATTCCAGGACTTTGGTTTCAGATTATGAGATAATTATAGTATGAGTCCCTAACTTATTGGAAATGTAGGAAGTAAACCTCTTAACCTATTGTTTTGAGGGTTTCAGTCCTTAACCATTTTTTTTATTATGCATTCGACTCTCCAATTGACAATTATATTTGATTAAAACCAAAATTTTGTTTCAGCGATGCTTTTACCTTAATTCTAGTTAAACAGAAAAGAAAAATAAGTAATAAAAACAAAAAAAAGAATAATATTCACTAAGACATTGCAACTTTTTATTTCATTTTTCACATTTTTACTGGAGATAGTAAATTCTCATTTATGGCTTTTAGTTTTCATAATTTTGAAGGGATATTAGCAACTTGTTTGAGAGCGATTTTTGTCCCAAAA